CACCCTCAAGGACCAATTCCCATCACTTTTCCTTTTAGCCCTTGATCACCAAACCACAGTCGAGGACCAATTTCCAATGCTAGGTCAGCCAGAATATGGATTCCAAACTTCAGAAGACCCCCAGCTGATGAAGAATTCCAAGAGTTCCATGACCTCTCCCCCTTCTTCTTTCTTCTTTTCTTCCCCTTCATGGAGAGGACAGCATCATCTGGTGCTCTTGCCCCCTCAGGATACTTGTCTGTCTCTTCATTCTATAAAAAGCTTCTTGATCCCCCTACCTTCCCCCATACTCCCCCTTCTCTTGTAGCCAACGCTTGGAACTCGATGGCCCCACCCAAAATTAAGTTCTTTAACTGGCTGGCCTTGGCTGAGAGAGTACTCACAATAGGCCAACTTCAGCGAAGGGGAATGCGAATACCAAACTGCTGCGTTATGTGTAAGGCTGCCAAAGTGACCAATGCCCATTCGTTCATCTCCCATCGCTTTCCAACTGTTGGGATCCCTTCTTCAGTCGTTTTAGTAGCAATGGGTTACCCCCAGCTCAATACCTCAACTATATTCCTCACTATCTCGCTTTCCATGGCCCAATTCTGGCATCTTACTTTGGAAAGCGGCAGTTGCTACCTTCTTTGGACCACATGGATTGAATGCAATCAACGCATTTTTCGTGGAGAGAGTTCATCCCCATCAGCCTTATTTGATAAGATCAAGTCCTCTGTGACTTTTTGGGCTTCAAATCACAAGAGCTTCAAAGGCTCCCCTCTCTCGGCATTCCACTTGGACTGGCTGACCATACTTAACCTCAACCGGCATCGTATCCCTTGTGCTTCTCTATGGTGTCCACCGGAATTTGATTGGATCAAACTGAACTTCGATGGTTGCTCCCTAGGCAACCCCGGCCCTACTGGCATAGGTAATCGATTCAGGAATCACTTAGGCTCAGTCTTCTCGTTGTTCTCCAGACATATAGGCCATTCAGATTCTCAAACTGCTGAAGCCCTCGCGCTTATAGAAGGCCTAAAACAATTCGATCCCTCTTGGGGCTCCAATCTGCTGGTCGGTAGTGACTCAAGTAATGTCATCACCTGGGCCTTGGGCTTGTTCCCTTGTCGCCGGACTCTGACTTCTATATTTGAAGAGATTAATCACTTGTGCAGGGACATCACAGTTGCATGGAGTCATATTTGGTGAGAAAGTGATTCCCTAGCTGACACTCTCGCCAAGACGGGTGCCACAAATGTCGGTGACTGAGATTTTTTGCAAACTCCGTCCACCATTGCGAATCTCTCCTCTATGATTTTCACCTTTTTTTGTAAGTTCATGTAATAGAGCTCCCTCGAAGAGGGCCACTTTTGTCTGTGTATAGTTTCCACATTTCAGACACTCATATTTGTACTATCCTTCTCCTTTAATACAACAGTTAACTTATTAAAAAAAAAACTTGAACTTCATTTCTTCTTCTTGGACACCCATTTTATTCGTTCCCAAATTCTGAACTCCCAAAGCATTTGATTCTCCCTTGTAAATTGCCTTGGCCTTTAGGATTTACTTGATTGTTACATATAGGAGCTGCTGCCCTCCCGCTAGCATTGTTCCCACAGCTAGATGTTGCACTGCCATTACGGTCATTCCCAATCTTCCTGGTGAGTTGGCTTCCACCGTTAAGGCGAGCTGATATGCATCACTTACTTTATGGTGTCAATGCAGTCCCACCTTGCCAACCATTGGTATCTTCACATACGGGCTAACTCGTTGGGCTTCACTCTCGGCTAAATTAATGTAAGTCGATGGAAACCTTCAGTACACTTGTTCATGGTTTTCTCTCGCTGACACAAATTTATACTTTTTGATACAGAGTTTGCTCATAATCTTGAAGAAAAAACTCGAGCCTTCAACTTGTCCTTCATCTATCCTATCTTTTGACCTTTCCCTTTCCCCTAATTCTCGATCATTTTGATAATGCTTCCACCAAGTAGAAGCTGGACGTGTCATCTTGGCTCCAATAAGTTTGACTTTTCTCTCTTCTGGGACATCCTTCCAATCGACATAACTTTCAATGCTGTCCAAACAGTAGAAACTCTTTCCATTTCCTTTCCCTATCAAACTCCGCAATTTGAACGTGAACACCATACTCTCTGTTATCTTGCAGAGCTTTTACAATGTGATCTTCCCATCATTGCCCTTTCATTCCGCCTGTTACATCTATCCGAACCCACCCTACTTTCATCGCTAGAGCTATCATTTTCTCTTTGGGCAAAGGGATCCAAATATTCATTACCCCTCTTAACACGACTCTAGCCATGATCACTTTCATTTTCATGATCATTTGGCCATCACAAGTGTAACCAACCACAAAAGTTGTTGGATTTATTCTTTTTTTTTTGGAAAAAAATGCAAAGTTGTTGGATTTGTTCTTGCATCCCTTGAAATATCTCAAAAATCACCGCATTCCTACCCCTTTGGCCATGATTCCCACATGGACCTCTTGCGGCCATCAATCGGAAGAATAAAGTGCCTAAAGAAAAAGGAAAAGTGAATAACAAACTTGCTCTGATACCACTTGATGTAAATCGAAGACAAAAGCAATACGGACGAGAAAATATGCAAGAACTAGTAATGTGTACTTAGCACCTCAAAGGAAAAGGATCCTTTAATTATCAATTTAAATTACATAAATATGTCTAAATCCTTGTTGGAAAAGGAGAGCTGCAGTTGGATCAAAGGACAGCGCCGATTCGCTGCCGCAAGGTGATTGGAATGATCTGGAGCTTCAAGCTTTAACATCCCAACTTCCACTCTCTCAAACCCTTAGCTAGATGGGAGACTTTGCTCTCAAAGTAATCTTTAATCTTCCCAAACCAAAAAAGTCCCTCTTTCTCCCTTCAAACAAGTGCTTAACACCCAAAAGCAACCCTAAGAGTTCCTATGAAATCCGAGCCATCCATTTAGTCTAATCTCAACCCTCAATTCCTAAATATAACCTTCACATAAAAGTAAATCCCAAAAAGTCCCAGATAATATGAAATAGAACCTTTCACTTAATAAATCCTCAAAAGTTCAAAAACAGCCTTAAATCCCTCCTAACACTTAACACCTTAAAAGAGAAGTACAAATAGGAAAGTTGGGTTGCCCTCTCGGGTTCTCATCCCAACGTTTTTTTTCATGACACTCTCTAGTGGCAGACATTTGGTTGTCCTTTAGTACGGCTAAAGTCATACTTAGGTGGTGCTCGCAGTTTATAACCCTTATCTCAGTTATGCTCCTGCTCTTGACCTCATGCCCTACCCACTTCCTGTACTAATCCTTCTGAATATTGACATTCCATCTCATACTGTCGCCTCGTAACTCCCACTCTGTGCTACTCTACATCTAACATTAAATTAAGTTACTAGGAAAACCAGTAGTGCATCCTATGATACCTGGATACCTGTATGACAAAGGTATCAACATCGACAGGATATGCCATCCATGCCAATGCCAAATACACTTGGATACTAAATAAGAAACCGTAAGCATAATAATACAATATGTTGTCACTATGTGCTATTTATACATAACTACATGTTGTATATGTATTTTATGGAGCTACATATACATAACTACATGTTGTATGTGAATTTTATGGACTAAATAAGCTTTAATATGGTGGTACCATTAAGTCAGAGATGATATTATGATTGTATTTGTATCCTGGATTTTGGAAAATGGCATATCCCTTTGTCCACTATATCATCTACGCAACTTCAAGCAACCTGGTTTCTGTGCTGTGTGGGTATAATAGTAAGTAACAATATAGAGTATTGTCCTTGATGTGGTCGTATTTAAAAGGAGATTGGTATAAAGGAAGTGGTATGTGTATATTATTATGATACTTAATATCGAACTCAATATGGCATAAGGCAGCAACAGGCAATTCATAGGATAGTGCTTGAAGGGGCAGTGCTTTATTTTATGCATGTTATTGTCAACTGTAAGATCAAATTGACATGCTTCTCCAAGTATGTTTATTTTATATAAGAAAATTATATAAACATAGCTTAATTACATTTTAACCATATAATGAAAAGACACTGGTTCAGGCCTCCAGGTTAAGACAAGCTGTTCGTACTTGTTTAAGGAAAATTTTGAAGAGCTTACTAAAAATTTCTTAATCTTATCTGAAACTTCCCATCAAATCCACTTACTAGTTCCAGTCCCCAAAGATGGACATATATTAGTGATCCAACTGAAACTGGCATGCATCACAGATCTTGAGGGATTGATCCCTTATATTATTTTGTTGTGTCCACAAATGAAGTAACCTTCATGGACACTATAGACTCTGATACATTCATAATGTCATAAACACAGTACAATATGACTGAATGCCAACTCTTAATGCCTTCTTTTATCTTTTCTTGGATAACCATGTAACTCTATATGCTATTTTTGAAGAATTATTCTATATTCTCTATTTAATTTAGCTGCCTACATCTACGAAAGTAACTATGATGTGGAAGAATAAACAGTGGGCCTCGATTAACTATTGTGGAATTCCCCTTCCCACCAGTTATGTTCCCTTATTTTGGAGATATGCTTAGGAGTTGCTTGAATACATTGTATGCTTGAGGAAATTGTTGTGCTATTCAAAATTCTGTTACTTAACCGTTTAAGTTTTAGATATAGCTGGACAGCTAATCACCAGCAAATATAATATTTAGACAGTCTTTTGGTGTGCACTTTTCAGTTTTAAAATACGTTATGCAAGTATCATCACTTAGGTCAGTTAAGTATTCAGTATTTGAAATGAAACATTATAATCAATGCATATCAGTTGGATTTCCATTCTTGAATGTTTGTGAGAGCCCTTGGCCTGGGTGATCAGGTGGTGGACCCACAAAGTGACATCAAGGGTTCCTTTTATACCCAATTACTTATGGAAAAAAGAAAAGAAAAAAAAGATTATGAAATGCTGATAATAGAAGCAAGCTTTCCTAACTTCAGTATAAATACATGGACAGAGTCGAGTAGGACCTGTGGAATGGTTGAAGCCTTATACAGATGAGACCATTGTGGAGCTAGGACAAAAAGGAATAAAAAGTCTGCTTGCTGTGCCCATCAGGTACTTATGGGAAGCAACCTTTTTGTATATTGTAGAAATTGAAATCGATCCTTCAGGTTCTTTTGCATTGAATGCTTGTTACATATTTTAGAAAAGTGAAGGCGGTGAGCATGCTAACTGAGTTGTTCAATCAACATTCACCATTTTGGACTTAATTCTGTAAATTTTGATGTTAGGTTCTGTAAGATTGTTTCATAATATGCAACTTTTGGGAGCTTTGATCCTGCAGCTTTGTTAGTGAGCACATTGAAACACTCGAAGAAATTGACGTGGAATATAAAGAGTTGGCCCTAAAATCAGGAATAGAAAAATGGGGACGTGTTCCTGCATTAGGTTGCGAGGCCATGTTTATTTCAGATTTAGCAGATGCAGTCATCGAGAGCCTCCCATATGTTGGTGCAATGGCGGTCTCAAATATTGAGGCACGTCAGGTACCTTTCTCTATTCCAAAGTGCAATATGGTTTTGTCTTGGGGTTTGTTTTTCATTCTGAAAATCATTTCTTTATTGCTTGTAATTGTTTTGTTTGAAATAAGTTTGATTACAAATCAAAAAGTTTTTCTGCGAGGACAAGGACAGATTCACATCAATCAAAAAGATTGAAATGATGAGAAAGAGGAAGAATTTCATTTCTCTATACCATAACATGAGAAATTGAATCAAACAACAATCACCACTGAGGTTTGAGCAAATGGCTCATTGATACCGACATCAGTTGATGTCTTGATTGTTGCTCAAATGTAGGTCCTCTTTGATCATGTGAATCTCTTGAGCCAAATGCCTTGTGGCTTTGCTTCAGAGTTCACAACTTATTTATAGTTTTTATTAGTTGCTTTGACTATACTTTGATAGTGCCTTTCCTAATCGAGAACCTGATTAACTGGCATTACATCGTTTGGATGTAAACATGTCATCTTATTCATTCCATAACTCCCTGACAAATAACGGGGAGAAGAAACTGCTCTCAATTCTTTTTTCCTTCTTAACATAGTTGTTTTCTCTCTCCATGATAAGAGAACTTGCTATTATTGCAGTCTCTTGTGCCACTTGGTAGTGTAGAAGAGCTTTTGGCTACTTACGATTCACAAAGGAGAGAGTTACCGCCTCCTGTGACAGTATGGGAATGGGGATGGACTAAAAGTGCAGAGACATGGAATGGCAGGGCTGCAATGCTTGCCGTACTTGTTTTGCTCGTCTTGGAAGTGACTACAGGCGAGGGTTTTTTGCACCAATGGGGTATCTTGCCATTGTTTCGTTGAGATGGGGGCTTCTTCTCCTCATATGTTATCAGCGTTTCTGCATTTGTATTATATGCAGAGTTGATGGATGATTTGAAACTTTTATTCTGGAGTTGGAAACTATTGGAACCTATGATTTCCAAATCTACATGCTATATCCTCAATTGTAATGTAACACAGTTGAGCATTGACTATTGGTATGGCTGATACTGAAGGGTTAGATGGTTCCCGCCTACCAGCAATGCATTGTACGATATTCCCTTGACCAAGTTCAGTTTGCCTACAAACAAAATAGCATATATTGATAAACCTCGGTTTGCATCTACAATGAGGGAAATTGATGGTGTCCTTTTATAAAATGTAATAATTATCCATTAGAAAAAGTTTATATAGAGCCGAGGCTCTAAGCAATCAAATTAGAGCCTACCTCAAAGATTTCACCAGAAAAGGTTATTTGATACCCAAATATCCTTAAATTGATCATCTCAGCATCAAGATGCATGGACATGAGAAAAAAATGGATTTCAAGTTTTGGATATAGTGCATCTTGTAACACATTTTAGACTGTCAATTTTTAAGATTTACAAGTTTTCATTGATACGTTTGATCTATACAATTTTTTATGCTTTGAATTTTATAATTAAAGATGAAAATATATTTTAAGGCTAACAAAAATATTTCCAGTATTGAAGGTGGCCTCTGACAAAAATATTTCCAGTATTTTAAGGCTAACAACATTTCTTAACACTATTTTAAGGTGGGCTCTATTTTGATTGTTTTGGGCTCTACTTTGATTATTTAGAGGCTTGGCTCTATTAAAAACTGCACCCTTACCTATTCTACACCACAGTTACGAATTACGGGTGAGATGGGGATGCAAGACTCGAATAAGACAATAAATAAATAAAATCAAGAACTTAAAAAGTGTATGGGCAAGTAACCTTGTTCTATTTGGGTTCATGAAATTGAGTACGTGAGTAACCTTTTTGGTTTTGTTAATCTTCCCTTTTTTGGTATGGTTATAATGAAGATTTCAAGATAAAGGAATTACAGTACTTGAAAATCAAGTGCGTACTTCTCGTGCATGTGTTCTATTTTTTATGCGTGGCAGGAGAGAGAGAGAGAGAAAGAGAGGTTTTAATGATAGGACTACCATGTTTGTTTTTTTTTCTCTAATGGGTTCTTCAGCTTGAGTGGGGTTTAATGGGGAGAGAGGGAGAGAGAGCTAACCGTTTTACATTTCTTTTTTTCTTTTTCTTTTTTTTTTGACAATTTAACATGTTAGTTTTTCAATGACACTATCTCAAATGAATGCTATATATGAGTAGGCAAGATCCCCTATCATTACAAGTGAAATGACACTGGAGATATAAAAATAAAAAATAACAAATTTGAGTTAAAGAGATTCATTTTATAGCAATTAATAGTACTTCAAACTTTATTTTTATTGTAAAAATTGACAACAAATACTCAGACATAAGATATGTTTTTAGTATTTATGTATTTTCATTAAAATAATAAAAAACCATAATCAACGTCCGTAATGAGAGCTCATATGGATGTGGGCTTTTCAAGCCATGGGTTCCTCCTTGTCTTTTCCGCTTAGTCACATGAACATTGTTGAACAGTTAGGTTTACCGTCCCTGCCTGAGAAAGGTAAGATAATTTGAGAAATTTCAGAGGAGCCTTGCTTTGGGAGGTTTGGTTGGAGAGGAACAGATGCAACCTTGAGGGGTTGTTTTAGATTTTCACAGAGTGAAAGACAAGATCTTCATAAAGGTTTTGGTTCTCTAATACTAAGGAAGGAGAAAGGGTTAATAAGAATATTTGGTTTTGGTTCTCTAATACTAAGGAAGGAGAAGAGGTTAATACGGTGATCTTGTCAATCAATCTTCCTTACCCATTGCAATGTTGCATCAGACGTCCGTACCGGTTTTTTAAACCGTTATAACGGAAAGGGCCCAAAATAGGCCATTATAACTTATAAGGACGACCCCTTGAAATTTTTTATTTTTTGACAAATTTGCTGCCTATCCAATTTTTTAATCATCGGATCGCTTGGTAACATTAATTGACTATTTAGACTTTATTTTTTTAAGACTTAAGGCAGTCTTATGTTTTTAACTTGGGACCGCATTTAGACCTCATGTTTTTAAGGTTTAAGGTGGTATGATGTTTCTAACATTGTTGTATTTACACCTCATGTTTTAAAGGTTTCTAACAGCGGACCGTGTTTAGACCTCAATTTTTAAAGGATTAAGGTGGTTATAAAATAAAAAATAAAAAATTAATACACAGTCCAATGTTTAAAATATCGGACTTAGGGTAAACTTGGAAAAAGATAAAAAATCAGGAGTACGAGGACCTCTGCATAAATATCGCATATTTTTTAACCATCACGTAATAATGGTCAAATAAAATGGTACGAACATAATTTTTAAAAGAATGACTTTATGTGATCGAGCTGGATTATATACTTTTTTTTTTTAGATCACTCACAAGTAGTCCTTTTACAATAAATTAATTCAAAGGGAATAAAGAAACAAATCTACGATCTCAAAACTTGATGCCACTTAAAATCTTTATTTTAATAACCAAAGAAATATACATACCAGTAGTTTAAAAAACAGATCGATGACCCGGATCGGACATCCCAAAAACCGATCCGGATCGGCGAATCGGCGATCCGGATAGAGAATCGGGCCAAATCGCTCGGATTAAGCCTTAAAAAAATTCATTAAAATTATTAAAATTCATTATAAATGTTGTTTTTAAGGAATCCAATAAGAAATGGGATACTACATTATTAACTTTCATTGTTTTCATCAATTTATGAATATTGAGATGTTCTTTCCCTGTAAGAACTTATGTTGATCATTAAATTTACATCACATAAAAGAAATCATAAAATTATCATGGATTATGTATATAATCATATATGGACTACAATAAAGAGTTGCCTAAATCGATGAAAAATTGGCCACTAGAATCTCGAATTGGCGGAAAACCCTAATCCGCTAAAAAAACTCAAATTATTACAACCTAATTAACTATAATATTATATACCAATAAT